CAAAACTATAAATCCACTAATTTGTCGGAGAAACGTATAGCTTTGAATATTTTACAAGAAAAAGTGATGCCAATAGTTTTAGTTATTACTAAAAAGACCGCTGTGGTGGTAATTATTAAAAAGACTTTGAGCTTCATTCTGCGGCATAAAGGGAAAATCTGATAGTCCATATTTAGGAAATAATTTACTTTCCAAGTCCCTAGTTGAGTGTTCTCGCTGAGACTCTCTTCAACCAGGTCAGACTGACAGCAGTCTTGAAATTTTTGAACAACTTTTCTGAATGTTGCAATATATGGAGACACGGCTAACTTAATGGCAGCAACCCTTTCCAGAAGACAAAGTACTATAGGCTATCAAATCCTTCCAATCACGTCAATTTTCGGTTCGCACAGAATCAGCCGCCTGCTTAATACCTAAAATAGGAAAGACGGGCAAACGACAGGCGCGTCTTTCTACAATGGGAGCTCCGCGCTCGACGCCCCAAGCTGCGTTCAAGACACCTGCCAACCTAAGACGTGTAACTGCCTTCGAATAATTTACCGAAGCCATTCTTCCATGCTTACACTTTTCACAAGTTGCGAGTATTATCTAGATTATGGAATCGGTCTTTGGCCGTAACTTCCGTATCCATTTCCTCGCTGGAATTGAAAGGAAAAATAATGTCGTCCTAAGCGATGACAAGATCCCACTTCTTTACAGATATTTCCAAAGTGGACATCGCAACAGCATCTGGTGTCTTCTCTCAGACAATGTCTTTGAGGGAGGCCCGAAAATTCCCAGATTACTGCAGCATGTTCCGGGCCTGGAATACGCAATTGACATAGGGTTAAAGCTTCTAAACGTGGACTAATCTGTCCATATGTCACTTTGACCACTGCTAAGTATGTAGATGATTCAAAAATATGGAATTTGCTAAGGCCGGAATGCTAACTGGACACAACTGGACGCCATGTTCAGAAGTGTCATTAATAGCCAAGTCCAACTAACTTGTCTCCATGTAAAACTAGCTTACCTTTCGGCACGCGATTCAAGCATTGGGTGCCCCTGCTCAAAACTCACCATGGCCGTTACTTTAAGAATAAATAAACATTAAGTGGCCGTGTAAGGTACAAGCATAAGTAAATACATAAATAAATAAATAGTTTTTCCGACGTTCATTAAACCTGTAATTGGTAGACCGTAATAAATTTATGCCAGCAGGCAAGCGAAACTGTTATGGTAAAAAAAGTAAATTTCAACACAGATGCATTAATTGTTTTAATAATTTTAGAAATATTTCGAATGATTAGAAATTCGCTTCACCAAATTGTAATGCCAAAACCCATTTTCTACTTTGGGACGCTGTTCGCAAGCCTTGTAGAGATAGATTTTTATTAACGTGGTCATACAGTGGTTGGCCTTAAATTATTCTCAAATAAAATGACTGCAAGTATTTGAAAATAAAATAAATATTCAACAATTTTATTGAGCTTGGGGCCGTTTTTTCTTAAAAAATATTGTGGAAAAAGAACAACAATTTACAAATATTGAATAGAATTTTTATAAAGCCAAAAGTACCTTAAAGTTAAAATATTCTAAAAATAGAATTTAAACCTAAACCAACAACAAACAGCCACCACATGAACAAATTCGTAGCCCTTCATTGTAGTTGGGTTGACCAAAGCAACAACAGTTTACCCGGCGAACTTAGCTCAGCGGTTTAGACCACTGGCTTTGACAGCAGCCAAAGTTGAGAGCTCAAATCCAAGTGAACTTGATGATGAAGATGTCTGATGAGGAGTTGTGGTGATCTACGAAATATGTAGAAGCTATAACGTTTTTAACTTTTGGAAATTATTGTTATTTTTCCAAATTTTTTTTACGACTTCAAACTCAATAAAATTGTTGAATGTATAAAATAAGTATTTTTAGCTCCAATTCCTTTTCACTTCAAGCCATAAAAAACATCGCTTGTATTCCGTCGCCACCGCCACCGCCACCGAAGATCACTACAAACTGACACGTAGTATGTATGTATGTATTCGTGGTTGTTACCAGCAAATAGAAAGGTAACCGCTGAGGAAATAAAAAGTAACCACAGCTTTCGTTAGCAGCTTGAAACATTTATTAGACTTCAGCGAATAAGTAGGTACTAACGCCATCATGACTATGATATTCTTCATTATTTTCTGCCACATCATCGCATTGATGACGATGATGATTATGATTGCCGCCGCCATGAGCCACCATTTTGGCATCAGGGCAAAACGATTAACCAATAAAACTTTAACCACCAACGTAAAATTTAACTTTTGTACATATGTATGTACATACTTTCCTGCCTGTAAGTTTATGTCTGTGGTAGCAACAAACATCAGTGCGGTGTGGTGGCAAGCCAGAAAAACGTATGAAATCAGCGAATTTTCTGCTAGAGTGAAACGTTTCGTTGGCGTTGATTGTACATACATACATACGAGCTACTGCTCGTCGACAGTTGGCTTGCTATTTTACCAATTTTTCGTTTGTTTGTTTGTTTGAATGCTCACTTTTTATTTATATATTTTTTAAGTTGTGATTTATTTCAGTTAATACCTTCGGGGTGGCACACACATATTTTTATGGCTTCTTACTTTGCGTAATTTAATTTGTTATCAGCTCATTTTGTACATATGCATGTATGTATGTATGTGGGTATGTGTGTGTGTTATATGTACGGTTACCATATTTATGAGCGCCGAATACGGGACAAAAAATCATTTTGCAAATTTTTTCCAAACTGTTTTCCCTGAAACAGTATCCTTATAGTAAACATCAAAAATTTTGTAGGATAATTTTCTCGAGATTTTTACCCGTAAAATTTGTTAAAAAAATTCGTTAAATTTTAGTATAATAAATAATAATTTTTGGAATTTTTTTTAATTTGTTGAGGGTGTTCCGCATCTTTTTCATACAAAGTATGTATGTTCGACCATTTTTTTGAAAGAGAAGCAAATGAGCAGCACTTTCCACTCGCACTTTATTATACTAAATTTTCATGAGTTACAAAACTGCAAACCAAATTTTTTTATAAAGATTCTAATTAAAAAGTTTGAAATTTTGGCGAAACATTGCAGAATTAATTTTTATAGTTTTTTGCACAAAGTTGGAAATTTGGTATTATTACATGGTTTTTTGTTAGGAAAAGAGCTTTACTTTCATAAAATAAATAATAATCATTAAATAAATTATGGAAAAATAGCCAAAAATGCCGAGTCCTAATTTCTATTTTGGGCACTGTATGTATTCCTCGATTCGAATCATTCATATTAGAAAATAATAACTGTTTATAAAGAAAATTACGATTATATACTAACATCACTTAAAACTTGTTCATATGCATGCCATTTTAATGAGCTGTTAAGGCGTCGGAACCCCGAATAATGGACAAATACAGGACATTAAAAGAAATACAGAACATTTGGCGTCCCGTATAAAATAAAGAAATTACCAGGACAATGGGTCAAAAAAGAGGACTGTCCCGTATAATTAATACAGGACGGATGGTCACCGTAGTTATATGTACATATGTATATGCACGCTAATGAAAAGCTAAAAGCTAAAGCGAAAAATGAAAAATGAAAAAGGTGGTTTTCCTCCACTTTTCCGGTAGCTGCGCTCTCTTCCGTTATAATAACTTTTTAAAAATTATGTGGGCAACATTTCAAGCGGATGGTGGGTGCATAATGTCAAAAGAAGGAAAATGAGCTGTTTGTGTAAAAATTTTCCTTCTAGTCCCTAACTTTAAAGGCCAGTTGTTCAGCGCACGGCTGTGATTGAAACTTAGTTTACATAAACGCTCGAGCAGGCTGGTTTAAACTAAGATTAGCCAATAAAATCACGGCTAGCTGTTCAATTTAAACTCAGTTTACGTAAACTAAGTTTGCACTGCCACTGAAAAACTGGCCCTAACATTTCAGTACCTACTTACAATCTTAAATTTGGCGTACTTGGGTAATACCTGGAAATTCTTTGTGGTCGAGGTGCAGGCCAACCTTGGCAGACGGCAGTATGATTTCACTTTTCACATCGGCTTTCATAGCTGTAGAATAAAGGCAAAATAGCCTGGTTACAAGTACATACATAAATGTACAAAAAAAACATTATTAAATTGCATCTTCAATGATCTCGGTATTCTACAACACTTATCGACTTACTCAGTGGTGGCGGCGATAGAGAGTTCTATGGAAAGTATGCCGAGGCAATATTAGAGTTTAGTGCCTAGTTTAAATCGTTGGTGTTTGGGCACTGAGGCAGGAAATAATGTCCTTCCTGAGAGGGTCTCAGTCAAACCATGCGCGGATTTTGTTGCACCACGCACCGGCAAACGAACCTACGAGGTTTTTGTGCGGGGACTGTTTTGCCACAATGAACCACTGCGTAATTTGTACTTTTGGTTTTAGCCAAGAATACCAGGAATCAGGATTCACCCGGGTTCCGCTCCATCTCCTCTTCTTTTGGGATAATGAAAGCGTAGCTTCGGAGATATGGGTGAGTCTGTGACAGCGAGATGCTTTCTGACGCACGATGGGCTCCTAATCGTTGACACAAAAGACGTTACCGATGGTTGGGCTTCAAGAATTCTTCGTACCCGTAGTATTGAAGTACTTGCGTTGGTCCAAAACTGCCAGGGTTGGTGTCTATTTCAGACAGCATTTTTGCGCCATCCTCCTACTTGCCGAAACGGTCTAATGCCATACGGAACACCACACAAAAGGATTTTAGTCGGATACTCTCACCCCCAGCCCGCTGGAATAATCTTCAACTACTAGTTAACTCTTTTTAGATACAAATAGCACAGTAGACAGTAATTCTAACAAAACGAATTCGGAATTGTGCGCAATTGCATTAGAATGATATTTATTGAACAATAAGTAATTCATACTTCATACCGCAAGCGAATTGCAGTGAAGTTAAAAGCAAAAAGTGTACGAGTGAAAAGAGAAGCGATTTTTTTTTTTTAATTTTACCCTTCGATGCGATGACATATTTCGTTTTTCTGCAAAATTTCAACTGCCATTTCATTACAAGCAGCTTTTGTGTCACGTGATAGCTTTGTTCGCATAAGCGGCAATCATTCTGCAAACTGAGAGAAAACAGAAATGCGCCACAAAAAATCGATAACTCAACTGATTGTGTCAGCAGTGCCGTTTAAAATATGCTTACTCAATTCTATACTATTGAGACCATTCCCCACGAAAGCACGACTTGTGTGGTATTTCCTTTATTTTTGGTGCCTCTAAAAGGCCCTCACTCGCACCAGCTTCCTGCGCTTTCGCCGCTCTCTTCGTTGCCGCCAAAAGCACATACAATTGAGAGCAACAAATTCGCCAAAGAGTTTCACCATTGTGTTGAAGGTCATGAAGCTAGCGCCCAGGAAGAGGCTAACCGCACCGCCAAAAGAGACCACTAACTGGTCAGAGCTGAAGACCACACGCCGACGTATGCCTCGATAGGGCAGACTAAGTTGGATAACGACGGTGCGTTCGAATTTCTGGCTGAGAAAACCCTCGGTCTATTCCGGAAAAAGAGAGAGAGTGGAAGAAAGCTGTATGTGCCGTTAACGATTTGACTTGCTTGCTACGCTTACCTGTAAGAAGGGCGAAAGGCTTTGCTGCAGCTGCACATAGAACATATACTCACAGAGCTGAACGCAATCGGTGCAGTTTGTCTGCGACCAATTTTGACGATGTAAACACAGCAGCTGATCGATGTTGCAAACGGGCAGATCGGGCGCCACAACATAGAAGTGCGGCTTGCACTTACACAGCTCTATGGCTCTGTGAATGCGACGTTCCATGCAACACAAAGCTGTGGTGTAGGTCTGTGAAGACAATAAAATTTCTCGAATAAAAAAACGAGTTGTTTCTCATTTTTAGTGATTTGGCGATCACCTCAAAATACAGCAGATTACTTTCGTCCGGGTAGCGACACTTTCGATACTCTGATGGCAAATCGCGCACCTCATCTTCGGCGCTGAATGAGCTAATCTCCAAGTCAACGGTCAAAACTCTGCCTGGTGCAGCTGTCTGGTAGACGTTGGTTATATGGCCGGGCGAAACCACATCGTAGGGATTGTGCAGATACTGGAAAGAGAGAGACTTGGGTTGTTGAGAAAGATATTCGCATAGATTCAAAAAAAAGAGAACGTTAAGATCACGCAATTTTTTCTGTTAATAATAAATATTAGGCCCAATCAGCAGTTAGACTAACACATACCACGAATACAGCGGCATCGTCTGGATATTCTGGATATAGCTTCGTGTTGCAAATGCTCATGAAAAGACAGTAGTGCACAGGGCTAACTTCCATAGTTTTTCTAAAAATAAAGGTACATATCTCACAATTATCAATACAGAATTTGAATAAAATGATAAGTAGGATAGGGTCGCAAACTCTAGTGCTAAAATTTAAAAAAAAAATAATTATAAATATTGCAAAAAGTAAGTTTTTTCTCTGTTAATGCGTAATCAAAGTACATTTCTCCATTGGGATTCGTGTATTTATTGAGCTGCGATGTTGTACGACACAGACCAACCTCAGTCATGGCCAGAGCGAATAAGATGTTTTTCGACTTCGATAGCAATCCGTCTGCTTGCTCTTCAGGTCGCTGCAACTGTAACGAATTTAAGAAAATGAAATATGACTGCTTAGGTGGCAAATGCTTTGAGAACGTGTTCCTAAACTGTACCCGCATATATTCCGCCACGATTCGATGGGTGGGTGGCAACCCCATAGCAAGGACCCTTCTAAACTAAATCTTTCTCTATCTTTTCATGTTCAGTTAAAATTCGTTAATTTTTTTTTTCAATTTCAATAGAAATATGAATTGATTTCACAACATACTTCAGCTAAGTCATTCTAATTGAGTATAGTACATCCAGTCAATTTTTTGTATGCATCTCTGGCCGATTCGGCTGAGAGAATGTAGAATAAAAATATCACAAAAAAAGGTGTGTACTTTGTAAAAGTGCCTTGGCATTCTTTCCAGAAATCAAATATTAAATCATAAGTGCGCCTAGACTCAAAATGGTGGTTTCTCTAAGAGCAATGAACGACGTCTTACAGATGGGTGGCCTCGTAAGCTTTACTTTTTCAAACAACGGAACCCTTCTAAATACCTACCTACTCTCACACGACCAAAATTATTGGTAAACTCTTTTCGTGACTTCTCAAGTTCTCACCTTCACCAACACATCTACATAATTCACGTTCCATAGCGTCGAGTCATTCTGGTATGGCAGCAAAGTGCTCAAAGAATCGTAATGAAGTACGTTGAGCACTTTCAAGAAATCCGAATAATACTCGTATCGGCGGGTATCGTTGGGCGAAAGGTGCCACAGCCTAAAATGGAAATTATTTGAGTCGCTGTGGGAAGATTGTTGTGACTTGCTCCTCGTTATTTCTCACTCTTCGATAACTTCGCGTTCCGCTACTTCGTTGCGAAAGTCACTGCACATGGTGATGCCCGCATAGAGGAAATTCCTCTTATCCCAAGTCAATTCTGCAGCGAATACAATGGGATTCTCGCGAAAACGTTTCATTTGATCCAGACAGATGTAAATGGAGTAGTAAGTGGCCGCTATGACGATGCCCAACCAAAACAGCCGCTCTGCCCAGTGCAAGTCCTTGCGCGTCAAATATGGCAAGCCATGTATGCCAGTCTCGGTTAGGTTGCGCCTCGCAAAGGTGCCACATTTCATTATCGTTTACAACTGCGAGCGAGAAACAATGATGGAGACTGGCTGACTTAGAATGAACTACTGCTGCATGCTATTGCGTCGGTGGATCCTTAAATTGTTTGCGTTGATGATGGATGGTTCGTCTCATTCCCCTTCCGTGTCTGCAGAGTGTTGACGCTCTGGGACATTTTGTACATCCTAACATGGCATTTTAATTGCAATTTGTTGTTTTTGAATAATTTATGATTGCGTTTTGCTGTACTACAAAGCAACATGTAAGGCATTTAATGAGGCCATGTTATGCCTGATGACAGGCTAAAAGTTTTCAGCCAACATTCTTGTTTTTTTTTTGTAGATGAAATTAAAACGGTAGTACATATATGTTTCGATTTACTCCCACAAGAACGGCAATCTGTATTAAGCTTCGCGTGATTTAGGAACAAAAGTTGAAAAGCTCCTGAAAAAGTGTGCGAAGCTCTAATCCGTTGCGAAATACTTTAAGGAAGACCGAATGTAAAGGATTTAAAAGTTTACTACATCTCTAACATCTTCTGCGTCAGGACGACCACAAAAAATCTATAAAAACCAGCTCAGGCTGGATATGTTTTGGCCGTGAGTAGGTGCTTTGGTCTACGTACGCTTATGTAAATATATGGAAAGCTTAGAAAGATCGTTTAAAAATATCTATGCTGGCTAGGGATTGCTGTTTGTGTTGGTCTACATACATATATAAATTCCATAGGAAGCTCTGCCCGCGCGTCACACATATAAACTGTACACAAAATTTTCAAGAGCGCTGCACGAATGCCAATATCTGCTACCGATTTTCGAGATCCAGTTACCACGATAAATGACAATATGAATGTGAACTCTCAAGGCCCTTCTGACTCGTTAAGCTCGAAATAATTCTAAAGCGCTGAGATCCCAGAGATTGCTTCTAAGCTCTAAAGCTCTTAAGCTCTTAAAGCTCATATCCACAACCTTCCACTGCAGGAGTTTTATCGATGAAAAGGAGACACAGCCTCTGTTATAGTCGGAGCTGTTGTGGAAGTGACCGAACTAATTGCAGGAATGATTCTGTTAGAGATAGCGGAGATCGAAGTACCGGCGCATTTTCTCAATTAACTCTTTAGCAGGCAAATTTTCTTAAGTAATTTAAAGGACCTATTTTCTCAGAGTACAATGAAATTTTTTTCGTCGGTGCCGACATAGAGATGTTTCCAGATGATGCTGTTTACAATATAGTCATGATTAACGTTCGATAGTTTACGCACGTTACTTACAACCTTATAATCTAATTTAAAATTAAAATAAAACTCAAGAATGCGAACAGACATTAAATGAATTGTCATTTTCCCGCAGACTTTTACTAAAGTACACATATTATTTTATGTACTACTATTCGTATTGCTGCTGCCCCAACGCCTTCTCGTTTACTTTTTCTGCATTAATGAAAGGCAGCCAGCGCTGCTATTAATTCTGGCTAGGATATGTAACAAACGGAACCCCTTCCTTCTGCCTCTGCTTCACAGTGGTGCCGCTTACTGGTACAAGGTTGGGCCATGTAGAGAGTGCTCCCATTTTTTTCTTCCTGCTGTCAATGAGTTGAAATGAATACGAATGTGTCCCACATATGTATGTACATACCGACATTACGTACATATATACGTATATACATATGTATGAATGTTTTGTGTCTGTATTTTTGTATGTTGGCAAGCATAAGTGTTGCCAACGTTTCCCTGCAGGGAAATCGCGAACTAGTGAATCAAACTAGATCCCCACCAACTGTTTTATTTCAATTTTTTCATTAGAAATGAATTTATAACTGGTTCGGAACTACAGAAAAAGGAGTGCAGAACGAAGTAGATCTTATTTGTCGAATTTAGAATTAGTTCGCAACTATCGAAAAAGGGATGCAGTAGGAGGCAATTGACACTTCCTAGGAAATCGCAATGCTAAATTCTCTAGTACAGAACGATGTAGCTCGGCACTAGTACGTTTCCCGACAGGGTTATTTCGCCTGTGTCTATACGCTGTGGGCTTGTTATGATTTTGCACAGTACATAGTAAGTAAGTAATGCAAATGTGGGACACAGTTGGACGCAGCAAACAAGCATTAGACTATAACGGTTGATAGGCCCTGTGATGCTTAATAAAAGTGGCTATTCTTATTTGTGAAGGAATAAAAAGTGAAAATGTAAATGAAGTATATAGAAATCATAATAGTGGGCGATGTAGTAGTGGTAATAGCTGACATATGCAATGAGTGGTGGCAATGCGAGCCTTTCAGCGGTGGTGCCTCAGCTGCAGGCCTTTCCGTCGGACTGTCTATTATCAGTCTATTCTTATGTTGCTAATCGGCATTATCCACATATGGGACAGTTAATCTCTTATCCTTTGGTGAGCTGACGTACGCTCATTTTTGGTTGCTTGGAAAATTTAATAACGAATTGGTTAAATTATAATTTTTTTTTTACCAATAAATTGTGGAATAAGAACAGGAAGGAAATTTTGTGTGTTGCTTACATCATCAACTTATTTCTATGCATACAACAAAATCAATTCACATTCGTACTATGTGCAATGTGTGTGGCAATTAATGCAGTCATCCGAGTGAGTGATGCCAACAAAATACCTATTAATACGATTTCCATAATAATTAAGTTTTTTTTATGCAAAAAAGTGAGTAGAAATTAGCGAGCAAAAAAAAACGCTTTAAAACTTTAAAAAGAAGGAAAACTGCTGCGTAGCGTAAATGTATTGTTGGCATTGGAAGGAGGTAGATATGTATGTATGTACGTATGTATGTAGTGTGATTAACAGGTGAGCTCATTTAAACACAACTTTTATTCATACATATGTATGCCTCCAAGTATAAACTGTGACGTAAGTGGCACATCGAATATAAAAGCTGAGTAACAATTCTCAGTGCAAAAAAAAAGAAATAGGTAAAAAAAGATAATTAAAACAAAATACAAAGATATTGATTATTAAGTAGCCAATAAAGTATGCTATTCATAGATTTGTGCTTAGAATTTGATTTGGTTTAAGTCATTCAGACTCCACGCAACCGGGGTCTAAGTAATCGGCTTACGTATGACTTGATTGATTGAGTGAGTGCCTCTCTCTTTTACTCTTTTTGTATTGAATGTGCCAGAACACAGTCTGAATAACTGCAGACAGAAGAGGTAGAGGGTAAAGTAGGTAAGTAATAAAACTGGCGCTTATATTTTTTTTGTTCTTACTTATTAACATTGAAAGCTGTTGTTGGATTTTTTTAATTATATTCTATACCACATAAGATAAAAAAAGCGCAACAGTATAAATGGGAAGGTCTTTGAACAAAACGATGGATGTACATACATTCTACATAGATACATAACTAACAAATCTAAATATTGTTCATAATTAACGCTCGTATCTTTTTCGAACAAAAAACTGTATAATATTGCGAAACACATCCGTTTCGCAGCATCTCTATAAAAAAAAAACAATTTTTTTACAGTGCTGTATTTTTTGAAACAGTTTTTCAATAAATCAAAGAATTTGGTTGAAGAACACCTTATCTCAGAATTCGGTTCAAAACGCCCTGTCTCAAATAAAAATATATTGAAAATGTGCCGAGATAGGGCGTTTTTTTTGAATCGGCAGTTGAGATAAGGCGTTTTTGAACCAACTTCTGAGATAAGGCATTCTTCAATCACATTCTTGAAAAGTTTTCTGACATAGCACCTTTTCGAATTGGCTGGCGAGATAGGTCCACCTTCCACTCAGGTGTCGATATGTACTCTGAGAACAGTTTCATTCCCGCACGCGCGTTGACCATCAGCTGGTTTAATTTTTATTTTGTTTCATCCAAATTCGAGTTTTCATGCAAAAACATTAACAAAAATAGTCCACTATTTTTTTATTTTGAAATCAAAAAATATTTAGAGAGCGCTAAAAGTTTTCCATGTATTTTATATGGGGAAAACCACTTTTCGTAGAAATGGTATAGAATCCTTGAAAATTAACATTTTTCGATCGGAAAACTCTGGTTCTCGTCAGGAGCCTTCCAATAATAATACCCAATTGTTTATTTAACCATTTCTGCTTCTTCTGGTATTTAAAGTGACAACAAGTAATTTTTAGCAAAAAAAAACGACTTAAAAAAAATATATATATATACATACATATATATATTTCATGATCCATGATCTAATGATAGGATCAAACCAGATTAGTATGGGGCCACCTCTGAGACACTACCTTTCCGATTCAAAAAGAATTATCGAAATCGGTTGACGTGGTCCAAAGTTATGCGGTAACTTATGTTCATTAAAAAAAAAAAAAATTCTCCGACAAACTGATAACCTCCTCCTTTTTTGGAAGTCGGTTAAAAAGAGTCTCATCTTTTAACTATCATAGTGAGCGATGTGAAATATAAACAAAAATTTAACTAAAAATTGATGCGGTTTTCTTTCTTTGTAGGGCGTTTATGACCCTGAGTTTTTTTTTGTAGATTCCCATGCAAATACGTTTTGCCAATTAGGAATTTTTGTAAAAAAAAAATTAACAATATTTGACAGTTTAGAAACCAAATAATTTGAAAAATAAAAAAATCCTTGGTTCCGTGCCTTGGTTACAACCAAAGTTTATTTAACAAAATATGATTGAATTAGACATTGCTCTCAAAAGAATCATCCTATAATAGCAACAAGATGGCTTATTATTATTATTTTTCTGATACATCTTTAAAGAAAGCATTTTTATATACATGCACACCCGTTATTTTAATATTACTAAGCTTTCGTTTTTTCTCTTTCGTTACAGGTATGTTAAAAAAAAAGGATAACGGAAATTTCTTCACATTCAACAGAATACGATTAGTCCACAAAGGTCAAATTTAGTTTTTACAAATTTCAAATTAAATTCGGGTAAATTTATTAGGTGGCAACTCTGCTATCCCTAAACGGTTTTTTTTTTCTACTCTGCAGAGCTTAAGCTTTTTCATATGCGTTGTCTTTGAAAGCTGTCTGATGATTGCCATCTTGAGAACAGTGAACCATAAACCGCATAGAAATTTTTATATATATACATACAAAAATAAGTGCGAAACACTAACATGCTCTATGGATAGCTAATGCACATCACTCCCGCATAAGAGAGTGCTTACGATAATGCTGAAGACAGTGTTGCAATTATTACGCACAGCGAATTAGTCGGGAAAAACATTACCCGCCAGCGTTTGTGATGGCAGTGAGCTCGCTTTATTATTGTTGCACTGGAAAGCGTGAAATTGTCGCACATTATGTTATGTCGCCCATTAAGTTATACATACTTGAAAGTGATGTTGACATCCGCCAAAGACAAAAAACAAAGCTGTGCTGTGTAATGCAATGAACAAAAAAAAACAGCTGAGATTTCCTCAAACACAGTTAGGATAAATTTCTGCTTTATGTCTACCACCTCTCGAGCGGTAGAGACATACATAAGTATGTATGTACTTATATTTACATACAGTTTTGGTAAAGAGAATAGTGACATCTTTTTCTGTATGTAGTTTTAAATTCCGAATGACTGACTGACTTATACCTGTACAATTATACGAATTTTTGCAATTTGTTATTTTGCTCTGCATTTTAATACTCATTTCATTAAAATCATTTCATTTCATTAAAATTCTTCCAGTGTCAGCAATTGTAGGCTTCGAACAATAAAACAATTAGGGGATTCCCTTAAACTCGTAAATTGTTAAACCGTGTAAAACTCGGTAAGTTTACGAGCCTTTTATGGGAACACACACCCCCTTTGTGATAAGGTGTAATAGTTGCGTAAAGTGACTGTTTGACATATCAACCAGGATTTTGTGAAGCATCTTTTGTTTCGTAGTATTTTCCATGACATCCCGCCTAGGTGTCTCTATCACTCTCGGGTAAAATACAATAAAAAATGTCGAAAATGCACTTGGTCCTTCCATTGTGTTCGTGGACGCCATTGCTTTCGTTGTCCACCCATGGGTGCGGAGTCGAAGGATATTTTCAACGGAGCGTCGTCATCCATGCGTACAACAAGTCCAAGCCAGCACAATCGTTGTATTTTTATGCACTTAACTATGTCCATGTCGTTAACAAGCTCGTACAGCTCGTTATTCCATCTTCTTCGGTACTCGTCACCCACGCGAACGGATTCATAGATCTTGCGAAGAATAGATCTCTAGAAACCCCCTAAATTCTTCTCATCTTTATTAGACATCGTCCATGTTTCTGCGCCACATAAAAGGACAGGAATGATGCAAGGTTTGTAGAGCGTGATTTTTGTTCGTCGATAGAGGCCTCTGCTTTTCAATTGCCTACGGAGCCCAAAGTAGCACCTGTTGGAAAGAGTTATTCTTCGCTTTATAATAGACTAATAGGACTAAAAAAGGCCTTTCGTAGATATCTCAACTCCAGCGCCACCTCTTGGCTAAATTTGTTTGCTTAAATATTTCTGTTGTCAAAACAATAAGCGCTTAAGTCGACTTAAGAATCAATTAAGTTATACATATATGCATGCCATCACATTCTGCAAGTACTTTTGCATGCGTGGGTCAAATCCCCCTCTCGCCAGCTAGGCTATTTAGGGCCGTTTTCTCAAGTAACCTCTAACTTTAAAGCTGACTTTATATTTAAAGGTTGCATTATAATTTATAATTTTGCCTAAAGTAAAGCATTTTATTATCGGTTTTAAATTGGTTTATAACCAAGAAACAAACATACGTCAAAAACCGATAATAGAAATGCCTAACTTTAGACATAGCTTTATTTTTAATCCAACCTTTAAATATAAAATGAGCTTTAATTTTAAAGGTTACTTCAGAAAACGGGCCTTAAAAAGTTATCAAAAAACATATTTTCGTTCCCCAAGAGGCTAAAATTACAATCCAAATATTAAAAGCATGTTTTTTTCTCGAATTCATGGTTTTTGACTTAAGCGCTTATTGCTTTCAATCAGCTGTATGAATAAATTGATAAAACTTTGATTGCGTTTTCCCACAAAATTGAAAGTCCCAGGTTGACCGAGCTTTGCCCGGAGTGCATATACTTCTTAAAGGTTTCAAGATTGGGATAGCTTTAAAAAATATTTTGGAAATAAAAAAAATAATTGGATTTCGATATCTATTAAGTAAATTTCTTACTCCAAAATTTAGGTGGCAATCCTATTCCGAAATACGCTGGAATGAATGGTACATATCCTGTGCGTATATGTACTGTGTATACTTGAAAAAAAAAAAATGCTGATTGAAATTGACAAAATAAAAATTTGTATTACATAGAAGCGTGGCAACTCTGATGGAAAATTCTTTCTGACAAAAGTTCACAACAATACCTTTTATTTGATATGCATAATGCGATGTTTTAGATAAATTGTGTAGCATCGAAAATAAGTGGCAACCTTACACTATTATCTTAAGGGTAACATTTTGTATATAGGGAAAGCATTGTTTAAGAACCTCTTCTTGGTACCCATGAATTGTAAAATTGTACATTTTTTTCTAAACAAAAAATTTAATAAATGTACGATTCAAAATAGGTGGCAATCCTATTAAAAATATTTTTGAATTAGGGATCTTTAAAATATTTTCCAATTGGTACCCATATTAATAATAATATAATAGATTGGCGCTTACACATATGTTAGTGTTTGGCCGAGCTTCTCCCATATTATGATGTTTAAATTGTTTTGTAACTAAGTTCGAATAGGTGGCAACCTTATACGAGTCTTCTCAGAGATAGTGCCTATTCAGATAACCCTAGAATCCAAAACATTTACTACAAAATTTCATCAAAATCGTTAGTGCCGTTTCCGAGAACGCTATGGATATATATATGTATATATATATTATATTATTAATAGTTTAATTTTTACAAACCGGGTCCATTATTTTGACGAAGGCTGTGCTCCGCTTCAAACCTACGCACGTAGTAGCTGCCTACTAACTCTAGCGCGATCACTGCTTTACACTTGGTGCTAAGTCGAGATGCTGCTCCATATCAGATAACTGCCGAACAACAGCACTAAACACAAAAACCAAAGTATGTAGCAGCGACAAAATGAATTCATCAGTAGCCATATTAATTACTTTGTTTTATTGTTTAAATTGTTTTGCTGCGACTGCTGCAATTATTGCTGACTGACTGCATTTTGTTATTGTTGCTGTTGCTGTTGCTGCTGTTGTTGTTGCGGTGTCATAGCATGGTGTTCGTCGGTGCTGGTTGCTGGTCGCTGGTCGCTACTTTGATTGGCGTGTCCGCTGCACATCGCCAACACTAAACGCTTAGCTTCGAAATACTCGCCTCAACACGACAGCTACATCCATTCAATGACGACACGTCGTCGACAACGCCCCCTCCCCCACCAGTTGGTCGGTCCACTAGCATTGCTTTATATATATGTCGCGAATCTGTTTGGATCTCTATAACAACAATTAAATTGAATGGATATTAAATTGCGGCAACAAGCAATAAGCATAAGCGAGTTGAGATTTGCGAAAATAAAAACGCTCGAGAAAATAATTTGTAATGGACGGCTCCATACATACACACATCCGTAGAAATGTAGCTTAGATATAAATATCTACATATGTAAGTGCGCTTTTCGCACATAGTTTGGTCTATTTTCATCACAAAAAGCTAATCGCTATGGAATTTTTATAGCACTTTTGTCGCCTTTTTCAAATAAATTGCAAAAAGCTCACGTGTGCCTTTTTTTGAAATATGTATATACATATATATATATGTGTACATAGTACAATTCGCGTTTAAATTTGTATCGACTAGTTGCTGGCTCGCAGCTTCCTTTGATGCAAAGAGTTATATACTCGTATTTATGCACATACATACATACATATGTATAGTATACTTTCGGATGGATGTGGTATTTGCTGTTTATTGTTGCTTTATTATTGTTACTGTGCCCACTGTCTA